CTTCCAGTTATATCAACTATAAGGGAAATGGATTCTCTCCAGCTCTCACTCACCTTCTTGGAGCCCTTCGACATGTGCAAAACACTCAATTCCGCACTGGCACAAGATCTTGCAGGTCAGCCCAGCAGAGGGAGAGGAGCGTCAGGCATGATTGGTTTTGTTCTAACTGCAAAGGGCTTTATGGGAGCCTTTTGTCTCTGCTGTTCACTTAGAATGTTTACTGGTTGCACAGTGGCTAGGATTTTCTTTTATAAATAAAAGGTAGGCTATAAAAGTGTGTGTGTGTGTGTGTGTGTGTGTGTGTGTGTGTGTGTGTGTGTGTATGAGACAGAGTGGGCCCTTGTGTGTAGTAGATTATGGAGTCAAAGACCACAGGACTGGAATGGGAATCCAAGAGTGCATGACAGTCACTGGTCTGCTGTTAGCATGGTTTCAAACTTAACACAGATCAATAGGGATGTAAATTGAGTTCTGCCATTTTTGAAAAATAAATGTATCAGTTATTTAATTAAGTTCTTAGTAAGAAATTCAGAACACTAGTATATGAGGATAAATTCCATTTGTCAGAGTAAAAACAGATCGCAGGTAGCCCCGGAGCTGAGGAACAGCTTTGATTTTTGCTAAAATATGTGAGTCCGCTGCTTTCTGATTCATGTTGCACTCTTCTGAAATCTGGTATCTCTCTTTCTCGGTGTCGAAGATCTTACCCTCCTGGTGTCTGGGTTTCTGCAGCTTCTTCTTTTTGAAGTAAGCATCAATGAGGTGTTTGGGGATTTTCACTTTGCTGATAACAATTTTTGTAGAAGTGGCAATGACAAATTTTGGGTGTGTTCTTCATAGAGGAACAGGATTAAGGCTGAGAGGCCCAGTCACAAGCAGCAAGTCACTGGCCAACTGCTTCAGGAAGACCACTCTCTTGCCTCTGTGACGCCTGGTGAGGATGATCAAGATGGTGCTGGGCATTGGCCAAGCAATGGCCGTGACTCATCCACATGGCTGACACTGACAAACAATCTGAGGTACAGGATCTC